GCGGGGCGGGGCGGGGCGGGGCGGGGCGGGGCGCCGGCGGCCAATCTGACGGAGATGGCGGAGAGTGGTTCCGCGCCAACGCTGGACTGGATGCAACCCCTCTCAGGGAGAGAGGTGGCTGAGCGTGGCGGCGAGCGCAGCATAGCGCCTCCATGCTGGTCTCGCGCCTGCACACCACCGTCGCCCTCGAGTTCTTCTAACAACAAGCTCCAGTAGTCCAAATGGCCAGCCCATGTATTTGTTTTACTTTTGAGCGGTACCAAAATGTCCAACGATTATTTAGTCCAATAATTTTTTTAAGCCTTCGCAACTGCAGAGCGTCATGTCCATAATAATCAGAATCATTGGGCTTCTGGAGACCTGGGCGCACACAATAGCAATCCGGGTCCAAGCTCGTCGCACGCCTGCGACTGTCCTGGGGTGGTCGTGGTGGTGGCCCTCCTGCCTAGTCTTGTGTTCGCGAGCGCTGTTTGCGCCAGCGCGCGGCTCGCCTGGGTGGCGCGGCCCCCGGGGCCCGGCCCGACCCGGCCCCGGCAGGCTCCCGGTCATCAAGCAGTCACACCACAAATGTTACACGGTTTTTCTTCGCGAGGAGCCTCGAGCAGGGACCGCCCCTCTCCTTCGGGGGGCAAGCGACGTAACAGACGCCTGGCCCGCGGCGGCCGGGTGGGCAGGCCGGGCCGGGCTAAATAAGTTTACAACCTCGGCTTTTGTTTTACAGCGACTCGTTGGGTTTCTGTTCTACGGGAGGAGGGCGGCGGCGGCGGCGGCAATGGCACCGCTGTAACGCCTCGGTAAAGTTATGTGTTCTGTGACGCGAGTGTTTGGGGATTGTCCAGAAAGTACGCCCTTTTCCCTCAGAAGCATTTAGCGAAGAAGCGGAGCTCGGCGCCTGTGAGACCCGGGGTAGGCCACACCGCTGTACACGCATGCACTGTAGGCAAGGTGTTGCCTACCTACCAGGCGCTATGAGAGCTGGCATTGGCTAAACTTGGCAATTTCCTTTCGGGGCGAACGACGGACGTGCTTTCTGGAAGATCCCTTAGCCTCGCGTAGGCGTAGCCCTCCTGGTCGGCCCGGGACGGGCAGTGCTAAACGGAGGCGGCGGGCGGCGGGTCGCTGGTCTTCCCTCTGCTTACGCGACGTTCTCATTCATCAAGATTGGCAGCTGACCTTATGCCTTATGACCTTATCCGTGGATGCTGAACACTACTGCAGTGATCGGTCTGAACCCGTGGCCCTTTTGACCAAGCATCAGGCGTCTTATTAGGAGCGTACATATGGGGGAAGTCATGACCCCTTCCCGGCCGGGCTGCACACCTGCCTTCCCCCCGAGAACGCAAGCAAGGACGAGGGAGACAAGTGGTGACGGGCGACTCCAAGCCAGTCCAGAGGTAGCCAAAGCGACGCCTGCAGCGCACGCCAGGCCGTCCCGCAGTGCACCGCTGCCGCACGGCCAGCGGCGGTGGCCTACCCGCTGGGCGGGGGCCGGCCGGCGCGGGGGCCGGAACAGGAGGGAGACTCGTAAATTTTCGCCACGTCAGACGTCCTGAAAGGTCAAGCAGTAGACGGTGCAGCACTACCGGTGAGCAGCCGCAGCAGCAGCAGTCAGCGGCAGTCGGACCTCGCGAGAGACAGTCGAGTGGACCGGAGAGGACGAGGCCAGGCGGTCACACGTGTGTTACATGCGGGGGTGCGGGTGCAAAGGGTGAAGGTTAATTACTGTCGACTGTATTGCTTGCGACCTGCTGAGTCGCCCCGCCATTAGTTTTTGAGCGTTTCTTATGCAGTAACACACTGCGCACTCGACTCGTTTTTCGCTCTTTGTCGAGCGTTAGGGGCCCCCCCATGCCCCACGACGGGCCGCGGGGGTACGCACCGCTCCGCTACGCCCCGCCACGCGCGCGCCGCCCCCACGCACGGTCACCGCGACTATAATTTAAGTTACGTCACACGGAGCGCGCCTCGCGCAGAGCTGCAGAGCGGCCCGGGGCCCGGGGCCCTGGTCCCTGATGGATGGGTCCTGTGGGTGGTGGCCAAAGCCGGGCCAAAGCCCCCCCGACTGGACCACGCCCACGCCCCGCCAGTCCAGCTCTTGTTGACCCAGCGGATGTATTGACCCACACGGATATAAATCAAAAGGCTATGGATAGTGGTCGAAGGCTGGGAGCAACAACAACAACTGCGGGTACCACGCAGCGACGTGCAAATCGCCTCCAGTTGTTTCCACTGCGTTGTCTGCTTTTCCACCCTCCGAGGCGCACATGGCGGGGTTGTGGTTGGGGCGTCAAACAGGGAGCGCCGAGCGGCGGCGTAGCGCCCCGACAAGAAACGCAGCCTTGTCGAGCAGCGCGCCGGTGCCGAAATCGCACCGACTGTTTCTCATCTCTCGGGCTAGCCGTTACACGCGACGACCCCGCGCGCGGGCGTGGCCGCGGGGCCCCGCGGGCGCGGGAGGGGGAGGGGGTGGTGTCCGTGGCCCGGCCGCCCCGGCCCCGCTGCCAGGCCAGGTCCCCGTCGTCGTAGCGTAGCATGCTCCTGGTGATTTTGCAAACTTTTTGAAATCTCTTTCGGTCGGCGCGGGGGGGCTCTGCTGGCCGACGGCGGCAGCCTGTGCCATTGCCCGAGTACCCCCGTGCCGCCCCCCCCCCATTTCCCACTCTCTTTTCTCCCGGCGGCGCTCAGTCTGCCCCCGAGGGCTCACCTCCTCGCCTTGCACGGGGCCCAGGGAACACAGGTGGAGTAGGAAGGACGCCCCCGAGCTTCCTATATGATGGGAGTTTTCGCGTCCAGCTCCCCATTCGGCTAAGGAAAAAAAAAAGGTAAACAGAGCATGGGCGCTCTGAGAAGGCTCCGGCGGTGCGTGCGCACAAGCGAAGCGACATGTCCTGGACATGATGAAGTTATACTGTAAAATAGTTGAACCCATACTCTACGATTAACTGGGCTGCCTTGTGAGGGCATGGTAAAAATATTAGTGTTGTTTCGAGACACCTTTTAAAAGACAACACATAGGGGTTTTTGTTTTTTTAATTGTTTTATGTAATATTAAATATCACAACCGTACATGGGGATTCACGTATCACATATAGCGTGATCACCAATACATTTTAGTTGGCAGAAAACAGTCAAAAATAATGTTATTATTAGGTAACATGTAAGAATGATAAATCTTTAACAGGAAGCAGAGAAGGATTTCTCTAAGTTCTTGGTAGTCCATCCATATCGTGGGTGAAGACATAAAAGCCCCAGAGCTAAAATGAGGGCCCTACAATGAGGCTAAGACTTTAAAGCCATTTGCAGACCCTACTTAAGATCAACTAGCCCAATACTCTACAAGATCCCAAACCACACAGGAAGATGAGAGAACATATATATGATATAAATATGAATAAAATACCAAGAAAAAACAACACTGCCTTCTCATATTTTTTTAAAAATGAGAGCAGTAAGTACAGAAGAACAAAGGTAACTAAACAATTATCTTCTGATAAAGCTACAACAAAATATTAGCAAGAACAGATAATAATAATTACCCATACCCTAGGAAGGCAAAAAAGGACACCTGTATGGTGTTAATTTTAGGAGTGTGCAAGCAGAAAAAGACACTCAGAAGATTAAAAATGATCTACAGTTCTAATAAATTTGTAGGAAATGGACGACACAGACACAGACTATAAGAGGATGAAAACAGCCATTAATATTAGTGACATTATAAATTCAACGTATGACCCACAATTATGTCACTACCTATTATCAAAGCCACCACCATCATACATGGATTAAAATACTACTTCACACCTTTAGACACCAAATTTTTGCAAATTAGTTTCACTTGCAACTAATATTTTCATGGCAAATCTAGAATTTTTATGTCACATATGGAACCAACTTTAACAGGATGTACACTCTTCACCTATTTTGAAATCTTCACAAAACAAGTCCAAATTTGCAGTCCATACTACGGCTAGACACAGGTGGCACTAAAAGGTAATTGCAACCTCTTCCTGTATCTTGCAGCAAAATTATGGACAAAACCGGTAGGTTTGTCATCAATGTGATATCAGTTACACTGTATGACCTCATTGTGATAAATCTGTGTTGCTGGGGTATTCGTAAGAGTAATATTAGATCCAGCAAAAGATCTCCTACTAAAATACAAGTCTGAGAGCAAATAATTTTTCAATTTTTTTGAAAGCAAATTGTTAAAAATAAGGTATGAAACAACATATATCAAATTAAAAAACTTAATAAAATCAACAAGATCAAAATTTAAGATCACAATTTTTTTTAAAAGTTAAAAGCACAAGAGAACAAATTCTAGTTTAATTAAAACACATTGAGAGCACTAAAATTAATTAAGTAATCTGTAACATCCAATTTTACTACGAAGAATAAAGAATTAAAGAAATTTGCACACTCCTATATAAAAAAAAGTCTTGAAAGGTATTAGTTCCAAATGAAGCTACATGGAAGATGGATGAAAAGATGTTTGGGGCAAGAAGTGATAAGCAACACTGTATGGTTCATTGGGTAGTGATGTTACATTTTGACGATCTTCTCTGCCTTTACTTGAGGGTTTTCTTGTAGAAGTAACTTTCTGCCTTCTTCTTTGTAGTCATAGTTGCAGTTATGGGCTTCAGAGTAGCTGTATAACATTTTTAGATTAGATTCATAGGTTTACAGCAAAAAGTACCTGGGACAATTATCACAGGAAACAATACTAACCGATGTGTAGAACAAAATAGTTTTTGACATCTGCATAAGTAGTTGTTAGATATTGTCAATTTCTTACGACACTGGCAACACCGTTGCTTCTTTGGTAACTTAAGCTCTACATCAACTGTGTTGGTTCTCTGTTGATTTTCATCTGAGACAAAAAATTGTTTTAGAATTATGTTTGCAATGTTTTATCATAATCCTAACAACATATACTCACCATTAGCATTGCCAATTCCAGTCTGTGGCTCAGTTTGGGGCGGTTCAGTCAGCAATCTTGGTTGTGAATTAGGATGCACTGAATACTTCACTGTTCGCCATCTGATCCCTTGAGGCTGGCACCCTGCTGTAAACAAAGATGAAGAGATCATTCATAGTGTAGGATGGAACCTCCCTGAAATAAACTTTTCTTTCAGATATACAAATTGAGTAAGTTGTTTGGTACCATATATTGGTTGCTGGGATGGGTCATCAAAAGGAGGGGCAGAACGGAAAGGAACTGTTACTCTTCCAATACCATTCATGACCTGTACTTGGCCTTGGTCCCTTTGAATTTCAGTCTGCAATCGAGGCTGTCTCAATTGAGGAACAGAAGACTCTATGACACGTCTCAAAAGTTCAGTAGATGGTTGGCCTATAAACAAAAAATTTACTTGTAATTCATTTATAAAAAAGGAGCTGAAAATGAAACAGAATGGTTCTACTATAGGAGACATGTATTGTAAGCACTCAGATCTCACCTGCTTGAATAGTATTACAGAAGATTGGAGGTGGATAATTTGGACTGGTTGCAGGTCTTACGAGAACAGGTACCATCCCTCTCTGATACATGGCTGAGTCATTCAAGCGAACATACAAAGGTTCACGTTGGAGTCCCCCAAAAACTGAATGTCGAACTGCAGCACCCTGCAAAAATGACATGACCACCAATCATTAATTGAATTATACTAGTGACCATTGTGATCTTGTAACAAAATACAAACCTGAGAAGTAAGAGGAGTAGGAGCCGAATGAAACCGAGGAATTTGGGCAAAAAGCTCTCTTGTTTCTCTAATATTATCCCGTATGGGTTCTGGGGTGTGGATGTAGTTTGAGCCAACATCAGCATTAAAGGTTGGCAGGCCTCTAACAGCCACTCTCATGTGTGGGTCCCATACACTATAATAAATTTATGCATTAAAAGGCAGGTTGAGAATGGTACAGCATGTTTTCCTCTCTGCTGTAAAGTAATGGTCATGCAAAAGCTTCACTTTTTATGCAACACCAAAAGCAAGCCTTTCTATTACATAAATGGAAAATTTGTGACTAAAAGCTGCTCCAATAAGGCTGATATGTAGCGAAACCCGATTTTGCATTTCTTTCTTTAGACCTTTCTTTGACATTAAATGTGATAAGAATGATACATACTCTGAATGACTACTACAGCCTCCGGTGAGAGAATATCCTTGAGTTGTCCTGAAAATAAGAACCCGCAGATTTTTAACATCCTCAGAATGATGCTGATTAACTTTGTTATGTAAACTGAACCACTAATAGAATGCATTTTTGCAATGACTTGGTTTTATTTAGACCAGATGGATGGCTAACAGCTTTATCTCCAAAACGATGAGTTATAAAACAGCCATTACCCATTGAAAATCAAATCGATACCCTAACAAAACAAGTCTGAGGCTAACAAGCATCGGGTATCACCACATTCCCAACCAGTCATGCGTCTATAACAATGGAATGCATTCAAATTTTAAAAAAAGAACTAAAATGAAAAAAAAAATATATAGTTGGACACATTGAGTATCTTTGATAAACAAATGCACACACACACAGACAAACATGTTTTTAAAAAATGAATAAGGAAGTGCAGAGAATTTAAAGAATGAGTTTTTTTTTTCAAACTCACAAAATGTCAACAGCTCCCTAATACTGTAAAATTTCCCAATGATGCCACTTTAGGATTGATTTAGGCAAAGAATTTCACACAGTACTATCTCAATTCAGTGCTTTGAGAGAAGAATGCTTAATCATGAGCAGCAATATTTTATATTTTCACTAACCTCTCTTCAAGAATAGTGCGAAGAGCTTGTCCCAAAACATCTTTAGGACAGCGGTTGGAAAGGCACTCTTCCATAAATTGAGAGATACGGGTGGAAAGTTGCAAAGATAGTCGATTTGCAGCAACATCAGATAAACCTCCCACAAAGTGATGAGATAAATTTTTCGTAAGCTGGTGCGACAAGCGCACAGGCAAGTCCTCAGGTATCAGACCAGAGAAGCGTGAGGAGAAACTCTTAGCAAGATATGCAGTGAGGTACTCCGTAAATCTCTCTTTGGGGCTTGAAGTAGGGCCACGGAGTAGAACGCTAAAAATACAAAAGCCAGTTGAGGCTTAGTCCTGGTACCTAGCACATGGTCAAATTCCCACAGCTGAGTCTAATCTGACCTAGACAGGGTAAAAGTAGACCAAAGTGTTTGGTTTTTTAAGTGATTATACTGTAACATTTAAACCCAAACAATCAACCAAGCTTTTGACAAAAGAAAAACCAATCACTTCTTTGCAATAGTATGTTAAAAATATAATGTTGATGCTACCTAAAATATGACCAAACACCTGAGGTCTCAGGTAAAATCAATAGATAATTTAATAGTGGGCTCATACTTTTTTTCAAAATGGAAGCTATTTCTGAGTTGAAAAACAGAGATGTTTGTGTAAAACAGGGAATCTATTCACACAGAAAGCTAAAAGCAAAATAGTAATGGAAACTACAAAAAATGCATATTAAAATTGGAATCAGGAACTACAAGCTACTTTGAACCTACAAATTTGGAAAAAAAAAAACTTGTGTTCAACAAGAATACATGAAAATTAGCATTGATCTGTTTCCCCTCTTCCTCACAGATAAAAAAAAAGCATTACAAAAAATAATTATTGGATTCATAAATTAAACAAACACATCAAAGATACATTGAGTTTACCAACTCAAGGAGTTTTTCTTACAATTGACAGGCATTTTGCAGAGGTGGCGTGGGCTGAGGTACTACCAAATTGTTAGGAACAAAAGCACAATTTGAGACGTTTATCACTGCATTTCTCTTCGGTAAGCCTGATGCTCCCGCTGGATGCAGTATTGCTCCATTTTGAATATCTGACTGTGGACTTGACTGTTGACGTAATTGGGGCTGTTGCATTCCCATGCGCAAATTTGAGATCAACTCTCTCTGATGAATTATAGGATCTAACCGTCTGCGGTTTTGGCACATGGTTGGAACCCTTGAAACTGATGGCTGTGGAGGCAAATATTGCAGCGAATCATCTTCTGAAAAGAAAAATAGAAGGTTGAATATTCCACCATTTAATTACTCCTTATTCCAAACAACCAATCAGATAGAAGCATTGGACACAGATCACATAAAACACCTTACAATACGATACAGCATCTCAACCATGCAAAAATGCAGCTTGAAGGGAAGTTTTGTAAAATAGAATACTACTCCAGTAGGTAAAATGATATAAAACCCCCCTTTTATTTAAAAAAATGAAAAAAAAGGTCCTTTTTAAAAATGATGTTTAAGATGTCAGAAAGAAAATTTATACAAATCTACAGAACAGTAGGTATTCTGTCAGTAAGCAACATAACATAAAGAAATTAAAAATAAACAAAAGCAAAGATATGAGATGCAGTACCCAGTGTGTAATCTACTACAAGCTAGATCAGTATTTTCACTTTTTCCTAAAATTTAGCAGAAAAGCAGTGGATAGACTATTTACAGCTACTATCCAATAAGGGTAGAAGTGTAATCATGCAGAGCAACAATCTCAGTCAATAAGTTAAATCATTTTGCATAAAATAATAAAAACAAACAAACAAGGGATTTGAAGAAAACTTACTTAAAACTGGGTGCATTTTAGGCAAGGTGGCAGCGCAAGGCTTCATATCTGGAATGACAACAGGCACTGGCCCATGTCTTTGATTCCATACGGGTCTCAATGGCGGTGGGCGTTGAAGTAAAGGCGGTACATGGAGAGGAGGAGCTATTAGACGAGGAGGAGCTGGTATTCTCAAAGGTTGACTAGAGAAAGGAATAAAAATGTGTTATTTCTCATTTTTTTTCTTGATTATGAAGTACATAATGAAGAAAACAAGACAAAATTATAGATAAAAAAAAGTAAAAAAATATATATATAGTGAATATGTAAAGACTGTTAGAACTACCTTTGAGGTTGTGATGATGGTAGCTGTCTGGGTATTTCCTGCTTTCCCCGTCGTGGGACGGTCAATACAGGTAGAAACGGTCGGGAAGGTCCAAGGTGGACTGGGTGAGGATGGTGGCTTTTCATCTGTGAAGACTGGGTTGACTCCAGACGGGGAAGGGTGAGCTTTCTATGAGGACATGGTATTGACTTTTTGGAGCGAAAAATTCGAACAATAGGTCGTTGTTCAACTGGTTGCCCTGATGATTGAGGATCAGGCAAAGAAGCAGTTTGAAGAGTTGGTTGCACCTTGTTCCAGTTTGCTATTTGCCCATTTGAATGTGTGATGTTGGCATGTGACTCTTGTGAAGATTCCTGATTACCTAGCTCCTGAGAACTATTCAATTTCATCTGAAAATGTGAAAATTAAGTTTAGTGTAATTCAAAGTCTCTGAGTGCCACAAAAATTTCTAGATAGCCGAAAACATCTGAAGATGGAAAAAAACTAATGTTTGTAATTCATACCTTGCGCCTTAGCATTCCACTGTTCAGTTTACGCTGCAGCTCTTTCATTTTCCCCATGGTAACTGTGTTTTCATGATGACGCTGGGCAGCTGTATCTGGTTCATCCGTGGCCAATACATTGCTAAACAGAAAATATCAGAAATTGGTTTCTAGTTTCAGTTTATGAAAAATAAAATAAAAAAATCTGCCATGAAAAGTTTTAAGAGGCACACTTTTAATTTAAAAAACAACAACGAACCGAATGGAAGACGTGTTGACAGGATCAGTAATTGGGGAGTAAGTGCCATCATTATTTTCAACAACTCGAAAGAGGTTCAGTTGTTCACCTTCACAGAATACAAGCACTGTGAGCTGACCAGATGGTATACGTTGAAGAATGTCATCACACCTGAAAGCAAAGATCATTGTAAAATGTGGCTGGTGTCCAACAAATCATCCTCTTCAAGGAAATGATGTAAGATTTAATATGATTACATATTTACCGATTGGAATCAACAAGATCCATCCATGCCCGCTCCTCTGGTGTAGGAGATACACGCCTAGTACTTATAGGCCCTCCTCGCATTGATGTTACAAGCCTCAATGTGGATCCACCACTAATAAGCGTGTCACTTATCTTGGACTCATCATCCAGTTCACTCAAATTGAACAGAAGATGTTGTGCTGACACAGGAATGCCTGAAATTTGTATAACACATGAAGTAGCTATAAAAAGGTCAGAATTTAGTATTTTATTAAGCTTTTCTTCATCCGTCTTACCTTCTACTCTCTGAATTTTACTTTTAAGAGTAGCAATGGTGTCAGCAGGGGACACTGTCATCTCAAAGGAATTCCCTGTAAGTGTCTCAATGAGCAGTGTGATAGTCTCATTCTGCTGAGATCCTGATGCAGTAGGTTCCATCTTAGAGGGTGGAGAGTACCCATGCTGCGACATTACAGGTTACTTGCTGCCTAATAGCAGAGTTGAAGGTGAAAGGATCCCTTGTGGGACCTTTCAAAACCGTGTGACTGAAAATATCAGAAACAAGAGGAAATACTTTTGATAATTTGTGTAAATAGGTGATGATGCAAAAAGCCTCTTCTGATTCATTACAGGTTGTAGATAGTCTAAGCAGCTCAGTCAGGTACACATAAAATGGAAATGAGCGAGTTTGAGTTCGTACAACTACAAATTTAAAAACAAATGTGAGCTTTAAATAGTAACGAATTCGGATAATCTGACAGGTCTTTCAATTTGTCTTAAAATGTAGGCTACCACATAGCAGACGAACTTTTGCTCTAGACGGCCTCGGGATGTTTCTGTTATATATATCTCTACAAGATTCCTTGTATGGAAGCAAAATAAATAAAAGGTCTTACCTGTAGCATTAGGGTAGCTTCAATGTTTCGAGAATGGTATTTATTCCTCTTTACAAATAATACAATACGCACATCCTAACAATAAACAAAAGATAAACACATAGCAGCGAAGGTGAAGAGTGAAGAGCAGCGAACAGTCGTACCATCCTCGAACTCTCTGAAAATTCTTCTAACGTGTTCTTCTGTAATTTCTACGATAAAATATTTTTATGAAACGCTTGTTATTTACATCTTAACTAGTAATAATCCGAATAACTGAAGATAAAATCCTTCCAAGTCAGTATACTAATTGAAAATTTTATTTTCTCAGTTGCCTGTACTCTTTTTTCCACCAACGCCCACTTTTGGGTATACTTGTTCACTATTTGTCTAGAGAATTTTATCGAATTTTCCTTTCAAGCCCTCTTATAGAGAGCGTGTTTAAAGTCTAAGTCAGGACATAATCAACGAAAATAACTATATATATCCGAAAATTACCCCTGATCTCTTTAAAGGCCCGGGGGGGAGGGGGGCAGTGTTCTTTTCTTCTTCTTCGTGTGTGGGTGCCTTCAACCTTCAACCACTTCAACTGACTCGTCAACAGAAATTTAAAAAAATATTTCTTGTTTTTTAATTAATTTAAAATTGAAATGTGTCTTTTTTGAGTCCGTAATTGAAAACAGAAGCCATTTTTAAATCGCCTTTCTTCATTGCGCTTCTTTTATTGATGGACCGTGGTGGACCACACACACACAACAGCAGTGGAACGGACAAAGCGTTGTTTGAAATTTCGAATGTCGACAAAGTATAAAGCGAAGCAACGGACTTTAAACAAATAAAGATTTATAGTTTCTGAAATGGCTGACAATCAGCAGAGTAGATTCGAAAAATCTTTAGGTCTTCTGACAACAAAATTCGTGACGTTACTACAAAAAGCCAAAGATGGTATCTTAGATCTCAAAGTGGTAAGTGCTAATCTGCTAATGGAATGGAGGTTATTCCAACTGTATTATCAGCAACAACAACTACTGTGTAGCTATTTTATGACTTTAAAATTTTTTTATGTGTATTTCTGAGAGTTGTTCTCTACCACAATGGTTTCATATATTTCATTTCTAGTAGTCCCCTCTTTTTCTCTACCATTGCGCTCTTACTGTTGTTTCAGGCCGCTGACATTCTTGCTGTAAGGCAGAAGCGAAGAATATATGATATTACAAACGTTTTAGAGGGTATAGGACTTATAGAGAAACGCAGTAAAAATAGTATACAATGGAAGTAAGTATTATTTTCATATTGCAGTTACAATAATTAATTTCTATGTTTATGTCTTAACTATTAGTAATTGAGGTTGATTCATTATTTATTATATCTAATCTTTAGTAATTTTCATTTTCATGTTGCTAACTTAATTGCTTAATCTACTAATTTTAGGGGTGCTGGTCCAGGGTGCAATACTCAAGAAATGTCGAATCGGCTTTCAACTCTTAAAAGAGAGATATCCCGTTTAGAAGAACACGAAAAGATGTTAGACACTCACAAACAGGTTGGTTCACACCTTTAAAGTTTTCTCTATCTTCAAAGCAGTTATGTAACCAACTAATCATCTCATGTGTGATTAATTTGCTTAATTTTATTTTTAGTGGATACAGCAGAGCATTGTCAATATATTAGAAGATGGAGACAATAATAGGCTGGCATACCTTACATACCAAGATATTCGTAGCTGTTTTGATGATGAAACAATTTTAGCAATACAAGCTCCCAATGGCACCCCTCTACAAGTACCAGTGGTTGATTTGGTAGGGAGAGCAGGTTTATGAAATTGCTGTCAATCAAATGTGCATAAGTTGTAAGATTGGCCCTAAATTTAGTTTGCTTTGGGGTTTACAGAATGCACCCAAGCCTAAATATCAGATACACATGAAGTCGACAACTACACCTATTTATGTTATGCTTGTGGATTCTGATGAAAATCCCAACTCTACCGCTGTGGCCACTGTAACATTACCGAAGATGGAACTGATAGAATCTGCCAATGAGGACCCAGCAACAGATTGGGGTAGTAAAACTATCAGTAAAAAAGGAAGTGAAAGAAAAGAAATCAAAAAGGTATTTTTATTTGTCTTTGATCACACGTCAGGTTGGGTGAGAATGAGACGGCATATCAGAAGTAGAAATTGCAACAAATCAATTTACGAGAAAAGTGGTGTCTCAATTTTTCCTGACCTGAGCCTGTATGTATCTATCAATTAGAATTTACATCTATCTGGTTCTGCTCCAATTTGTTTATTTTAAGGCTCCCTTTGACTCTGATGTTGAAAAGTCTCCAACAAGGAGTCCAAGCAGCAGCCCAGATTTAAAAAGAAAACTCGCAGCATTAGTAGAACCTCCTGCTACTCGATCAAAATCAGGAATCAAAGGCTCTCCAACCAAGAAGATGGCAGAAGCAATGCAGAGTCCTGTTCGTGGTGGTTAGTATTATTTATCTTTTACCAAGAGAAAATCAGTAACGGCCAACTGTTGTTAACCTATCATTATTTTCTATCTATCAGGGTTAGCTAAACGAGGTCGTCCAAGTTCTGGTAGACCCTCAAAGCAGCCTCGGCTAGATGAGGATGTAGATGTCAAGGAAAAAGAAGAAAGTGAAACAAATGAGAGTGAGGTTGACAATCCAGCTGAAGCAGATGCTGAGTCAGACAGTGAACTTACAGAGCTTGATGCTGAAGTAATTCTCAGAGATTTGGGGTCCAAAGGTGCAGGCCATTGGCTTTTATTGCTTAACAAAACTATGCTCATGAGTGTCAGTTTCTTATGGCCTTTTTTCTCCTTTTTTCCCAGATCTACTGTTTGGGGGTGATAATGGCTTGTCAGAAGATACCTTTGACAGTGAGTAATCAAATTTTGTACCATTATTAATTCATTTAAACAGAATACTTACATTTTTTTTTCTTTCAGTTTACGGACCGCTTCTCAGATTAAGTCCACCGCCTTGTGAGAAGGACTACTTGTTTAATTTGGGTGAGGGTGAGGGAGTATGTGACCTTTTTGATGTACAAATGTTTACCATGTAGAATTATCTTTATCTAAGCTGTACTTTTCAAATTGAACTCAAATTTTTATGTCACCTTTAGGGAATATTTTCTTACCTTGCTGCCACACGACCTGGTGGATTAGGGTGTTACAAATCATCTCTGTCAGAGTTTCTTACAATATAAAATTAATAGTACAAATAAGGTTTTGTGAAACTTTGTAAAATTGGTGTGGTGCTTAGTGCTATTGTAATTGTTTTGATTTCTCAACACTGCATGTTTATTTTCCTTATGATGTATTTCTCTGTTAAGCCATTTTGCCTCCAAAGAACTGTATTATTAATTTTATTTTTTTAATTTTTTTTTCTCTTGGTCACACGGGAGTGTGCTCTGGTAAAGTTTTTGGCTTTTGCTCTGCAGGCTTAGCTCAAATTTTTCTAGAAAGTGTATATTATATTTTTACACTCTATAGTGTTTTGATACATTCTTTTCATTCATTCAGTCTCTTAATTGAACATTTGTTGCCTCATCTAATTTTAGATGTATTTTGTGATTGACTTTGCTATCTATTTTCAGTTTTGTTCCTGTATTGAGGATTTAGAACCGGCCACCTATTTATGATTATTATCTTGTTTTATTTTGTATCTACTCATAACATAAGTTATGATTCTCAGAATGTCTTTTGAATGAGAACACATTTTTACTGACACCAAAGACTAAGCTTGCTTTGACATCTTAACAAGTTATGCTGGTTATAAGTGCTAGTTCCGTTTTGTCAGTTTACTAGTTCTCAATTGGCTTTGTGTATTTTGGGTGAATAGCACTAGTTTTGATACATTCCTGCTACCAAAAGAATTTCATCAAGATGACAAAGAATCAAACGCAATTTCTATCAGCATAAAATTATAATCATGGTATCAACTTCCCATTAAATGTCAAAGCCATAATCTAAAATTTAGAGTTTGATGAGATTGTGTTCTCTTAAGTTCACCTCTTGTATAGTGCTCAATGTCGTAGTTGGATTATGCGATTATCATTTTGTCTTCTAACATTGCACTGATTTTTCTTATGTTTATTAGCTGCTCTAGCGTTTCAATTCACACGTAGGACTTAAACTTCTCCCTTTATATTTCTTATTTAAATTTTGTTTCCACATTTTGACATTTTTTCTCTTTTTGAAGAATATATGAACAAGATTAGAATATTTGTGAATTGAAACCTAGAGTTGTATGGATTTTTCTCTCCTTTTTTTTACCAATCTGTAGTTTTTTTTTACAAAAAATCTTTGGTTAAGTTTTGTCCTCTTCTTGGGTTACTGTCCTAAACGTAGAAATTATTATTAAATAGATTTGTTATATTTCCACATTATGCTATCCACATTTCTGTCTACTTATTATGACTGTATTGGTTGTCAGGAGTACTTGTTACTTTGTTATCAGTCATGATTCAGTAAGCAAGCAAAAGCTAATCTGTTACCTTTATAGATATTCTTTTCAGGCCTTTCCAACATTTTTTCCCCTTTTAAATTATTTTGCTGTGTTCACTTTTGAAATGGGTTACAAATACACCACTCGATTTATAGATATGTTATTACTATATGATTGTACTCAAAGTACATAATCCCTGATTTGGAATGTACCTTTAAACTACATATCAGCTCTCAGTGAAAAAATGACTTTCTGAACGATGTCGTTCAACGATGGCCTGACGACGTTCTCTTTTTGACGTCGTCCCGCTATTGTTTCGACATCCCGTTTAAAGCGCCCTCGCACCCACCCGCCCCACCGTGTACTCTGCGCGGGCAGTCCGCTCCACGCAGCTGCTTGGCGGGTTGGCCTACGTAGCGCTTTGCAGGCGCTAGGAAAAGCGTAGTCCAGTCTGTACGCGATGCAAGGGCAATGATAAAATCAAAAAACTGCCACCCTCTTACATTGCCGCTGCTCAAGTCGCTCTACACACATTTTAGAATCAAATCATACCCTCCTTCCCGAGTGAACTTTGCATGTTGAAATTCTGGTCGGGCTGGGCCGGGGAGGTGAGGATGAAAACCTGTGGTTGACGAGCACAGATTACGTAGATAGGACGAAGGTCGAGAGGAGTCGTGCTACATCCTCGGAAGTAGCACTTCATGTGCTGGCGGTGGTGCGTAGGACATTTTAGACAGTCCCCTAAAGACTGTCTCTATCAGAGGGCAAAGTCACCTTCCCCATCCTCAGTATATAGCACAGAGCGGGCTCTCGAGTTTTTTCGAGAGCTCTTATTGCCCATTTTAAGTGGAGGGTACTCAAAAGTACTAATCCTAAAACTGTTCGTTCGGTTCGTTCCCGGTATTTTATGAATGTTCAAATTTTTCCTAGAACAATTCTATGAACTAACTCATGTGTGTTATCCTCTGGAGCAGGGGGCGGGGGCAGTTTGCTTCCTTAAGCAGTCTGCTAGCGATAGGACGCGATATGATGGTACCTTTGCTCCACCCACGGCATCGCCTGATGTCTGTTTGCACTTCAGGAGTGTTCTCTCTCTGCTATACCTGTAGTGCGACACATCTTTCTACCACCATGGCCCATGTATATATACATAGCATTTACGGACCGAAAAAAGTAGCATTCCCACTCCCGCGGACCTCAAAACGAAACATACTACAATCGATAAATCTACTACTGTCCATTAAAGTGGTGCAGTCGCAGTGTTTGTTGACAGTTAGTGCCCCCCTCCCCCGGGCCGCGCTACATAACGCTACGTCACGCTTTGAGCTGACTCACGGACAAGCCGGCCGCGGCAGGTCCGATAAGTGGGGGAAGTTCTTAAAAGAAACCAGCATCCAGCGCGGCGCTCATCTCGTCCGAGACCGGAGGCCTATCCACATCGACAAGCACCGCGCTAGCAGCGCGCACGAATTATGGCCGCGTTCGAGATTCTGGCCGCCGTCGTGGCGGTCATGCTCGTGTTCTACTACTACATGACGAGCACGGCCGACTTCTTCGCCAAGAGGGACATACCGCACCTGCCGCAGACGCCCTTCATCGGCAGCTCGGTCGACGTCTTCCTGTCCCGGAGGTGGCGCGGGAAAGTGTGGCAGGACTGGTACAACTACGCCAAGACGAACGGCCACAAGTTTCTAGGGGTGTTCCTAGGGAGGCGCCCCATGCTCGTGGTCTGCGACGTGGAAATGGTCAAGACCATCCTGGTCAAGGACTTCCAGCACGTCATGGACCGTGGGATGTACTTCGATCGGCAGCGCGAACCCCTCAGCGCCAATCTGTTCAACCTCGAGGTGAGTAAACTGTCAACTTTGCAGAACGGATCGACGCGAGCAGGAACGGCGATGCGCGGGTGAACTCACGTGGGTTTTTGCTGCGCAGGGTCGAGAATGGAAAGCACTTCGTGGCAAGCTGTCGCCCACCTTTACCTCCGGCAAGATGAAGTCCATGTTCTACCTGGTGCGTGCGTGCACGGACGAGCTGGAGAGCTACCTCGGCGGCGAGGTGCAGAAGGGCGGCGAGGTCGAGATGGCCGAGGTCATGGCCAAGTTCTCCACGGACGTGATCGGGTCGTGCGCCTTTGGCGTCGAGGCCAACTCCTTGAAGGATCCAAACGCCGAGTTCCGGAACATGGGCAGGAAGGTGTTCGAGGTCGACCGTCTCCGTGTCATTGTCATGGTAAGAAGAAGTCGAATTTCCCGCAAACATTTAACTGTAAAGGAGACAAACTTGTACCCAAATAGATCGCACCTTGATTGATACATCATCACAGATGATCGCGGAGACGATGCCGTGGCTGCGGTCGCTGCTCCCCATGCCTCTGATTAACCCCCAAGTGAAGAACTTCTTCACGCGCACCTTCAACGAGAACGTCGAGTACAGGGAGCGGCAGAAAGTGGTGCGGCACGACTTCATCGACCTCCTGATCCAGCTCAAGAACAAGGAGGCCGGCCACGAGGGAACCGACCACAGCGCCACAGGTGGGCCGCCGCCGGGGCTTCACCCGGGAGGGAATTCCCACTACACTTTTCGACATCCCCGCTATAATTCACAATTATTTTTTTGTAACAGGCATCGACGAGGCTATCCTCCCCGCGCAGGCCTTCGTCTTCTTCCTGGCGGGCTTCGAGACGTCCTCCGCCGCGACGAGCACGTGCCTCGTGGAGCTGGCCCACCACCCCGAGATCCAGGAGAAGCTGCGGGAGGAGGTGGACCGCGTGCTAGCCAAGCACGGCAGCATCACGTACGAGTCTCTGCACGACATGACGTACATGGAGCAGTGCATCGAGGGTGAGTAAAGGCGATACACCACAGCGTTGCGGGTTTGCCTACCCGATCTGCCCGTAAGGCGCCATAGTCCCTTGGGGATGCAACACTGCCTTACACTCGGTAACCTGTCGCTCATCGAACATGAAAGGGGAAAACAAAGGGGGGGGGGGATTACACACAGGCGTTTGTCATTGTGCCGATTGCCTACTGTACCATCAGGCGGTTCTGAGGGGGGAGGAGGGGGACGCGAAAAG